GCGCGCGAGCTACACGCACCCTAAAAACCAGTCGGCCACACACAGCTGGCGCGCAAATTCAATTCGTTTCATTCCGTCGAATTATATCCGTTATAATTCATCTCCGAGTTCGTAACATGCACGCTGGGAAACATTGATACTTAACAATTTACAACACTTCACTCTTAATTTTATTTGCGTCTGAATATTTGATGCGTTGTCTTGTAATTAAATTAAATAATTAAATAGGAAAGAGGAATTTATTTTTGCCTTCAGCGTGTTGGTTGGTTGGTGTTATATTCTGTGTTCCGGTTTAGATGTTTGTATTTGTTTTCTTTGTCGAGTGCAATCGAATAAATCACAATTTATTTCATGTTTACACAACAAATTGCTTTCTATTGCGTTTGACACTCGTTGAAAAACCACTGATAAAAAACATCATTAAAAAAATACTATTGTACTATAGGCAACACAGAATGCATTACATTGAAACAATTATGTATAATAAGTTGCCTATATATAAAAAATAATTATTTTTTTGTGTTCTTTTTCATACTCGGTATTAAATCCGTCTAAACGTAGATGATTAAGATTGAGATTAACGCTTGGGTTTATTTTCTTGTCGATTAAAGGTGTGTATGTGTGTTTGTGTACATTTAATTGGAATTTTAATCGCATTTCGCGTCGCATTTCAATTATGTAACCGAGATGAGTTTTCGAAATACTTTCCGCGCACGCTCCCCTCGACCCCTGTGACAACTCGAATTACATCCCTCTCAAATGACACCCTTAAAAAATTAAAGAAAAACGAGTTGCTGCACGGATTTCTGCCCACCCGCGTCTGACGTCTTCAAATTGTCCTTGACAGATTTCACACTTTACGCCACGATCAGCACAATCTAAGAAATGTCTTTTGTGTTTCAAATGTTTTAAGCTATCGCAGCACATTTGCGAAAGCGGCGTCACCGCAAATATGAAAATTTATGTGCATAAATTAATGCGCGTTATTAAAACAGCGGTCGCGGTCTGGTTTCCCTACTTTTATTTCGTAGCAGTTTCCATCGCTTGCGGGTGGAAAGGAAGGCGTTGCGCGCACGCTCCAATAAAGAAAAACAAATTGGAAAATGCGGGCCGACGCGACGAATTAAATTGAAAGCACTCCTTGCTGCTGGGAGCGTACTTAGGAAGCACTTTCCACAATATACAGCTTGAATCACTTATTAAAAATCATTTTCCACTCAAATGTGTGTAATCCAAATTGGACTTACCAGTTGACTTGTTAAGACTTGCGCGTGGCGCGCGGTGTTTTTTCTGCTTCATCTTGTTTTAAGCATAATGAATGCATTATTCATGCCGCATTAATATTCGACATGTGTTGTTTTAAGAAAGTCCGCAAAATACACGAGTTTTATTAAGTCGCCATGGGGTAATTTAAATAAATTTCGAAGTTGAACTGTTTTGACTTTACAATTTATTAATTTGTAGGCGACCGACATTGTGTTTCCTGCGGACATTAATTTTTGGGTTGAAGGAAATCTGGTTGCCTACAATAAAATATGCTTAAGTCACATATTACCATTAAGTTGATTATTACTTCAAAAAAAATTGTTAAAAAGAGGAAAATAATCAAATGTTTTTATGTTTTTAGCCGTTGAGTGGTCAACTTTATGTTATTTTTGGTACATATGCTTAATGTGTGCAGATAAAATATTTCTGGAACAATAATCTATCTATAAAATAAAAATCAATCTGTTGGTAAGCGCATAACTCGACAACGCCTAGACTAATTTGGCCAATTCCTTTTTTAAAATGTTCCTTGAAGTCCAAGGATGGTTTTTACGAAGGGAAAAATTTGAATAATTGCCGGGAAGACCCTAAAGACATCCCTTTTCTATAGGATAAAAGTTGGCATTGAGATTCATTTATAGTTATAGTTAAATAGTTGAATCCGAGATGGCGCGCTGAAGTGCATTGTTAGCAATTTTTTATATAATTAATTTCTTTTAAATAAAATTGCGAGTCTTATTGATAGAATTGACACATGCTATGTCTGGAACAAGAGAGTAAAATCGAATATTTCTTTATAAAATCAACAAATAATAGTTTTTCTTAACAAATATCATTGTTCCAATAAAAATTAACGTGAATAAAGTTCGGTATTCATCAGTATTTACATTAAAAATCTGCAGCACCAGTCATTTAACAAAATTTTACACTTTTTACCTAAAAAATAGCAAATACTTATAAATTTAACGTTTTTTTTTTCTTGTTTCAATTAATTATTACTTAAAAGCAAGTATCTATTCATCCTCGTAAATTTTTAACTATTTTAAATGTTTGACACTCCCGAGAGCAGAATTTACTACTCCTGCAATATAAAGTTGTTCGCCCACATTTGTAGAAAATCGTGGCACGCGAGTGCCGCAAGCGTTAATTCCTGATATCCATTATAACTTTTCCTAATCGTGAAATACACCCGCTTGCTCTTCCTCTTCTCGAACTTTCAAAACACATATGTGTGACTACTCTGAGTGCAACTTGCGGTGTACAACTAAATTAAACAAATATGAGTGTACAAATACACTAGATATCAAATACAAGGTAAACACCAATACTAACCCAAGCGTCAACTATCATCAGGCAATGTGCAATCGAAGTTGATAACTTTCTATCAGGAAGCTAATAGCTAATTAGTAATTTATGCAACGTACAGTTGTCATGAGTGTACTTAATAATTTATAGACATGTAGACATCATTATGGGACATTAATTGGTTTTCAGTTAGTTGTATATTTGTTGCTTAGTTGGGGAATAAATATATTAACAAGTTAATAGAAAGAGTTTTCCAGAGAAAAAATAGGAAATGTTGTATTTTATATTTATTATTTATATTCTATAAAATTTATTTATAACTTTATTTTTACTTTCACGAAAAATGGTACTTTACACACGGATGGATAAGGCCATGACTAAAGTACTTTAGTCACGAGTTTTTGTCATAGGTTCTCGAAACAGTGGAAAAACTGGCGCTTTAAAGGTGGAAGTACATAAATGTTATTATTTAGCACGAAACTATAAAAGTAACTTTTTAAGTTTTCTAATAATAAACGTTTAATAATAATGATAAGGGATGTCATTTTAGTGGTTCTAATTTTTTAATTCCTGCAGTAAACATGGTTAATGGATATTAAATTGGATTTTCAACTGTAATTCAATCCTGTGACATTAAATTTACTACAAAATGCGAATATTTGAAATAATCCTGATCATATTTGGGTTTATAAACTGAATTAAAGTGAAATAATGTTTTATCTCGTATTTAAATGTTTTATATAAAACAAATTTCTAACTTTAATAATGTGCCATCTATAAATTACTTTTATGTATGCAACCAAAAATACCTTTCCAAAAGACATCAACATATTTGGTTGCATATTATGAACCTATGTAACTAGAAACTTATGTTAACCAGAAAAAAAATTGAACAAAATTTCACGTTTGCGACTTTTCATCAGTATTCTATCACGATTGCCAAACTAATATTTTCCGGTAGATATATACGCCGCCTTGCCTCTTTCTTGCCTCGCCGATGTTGGCGTGTCGGCTTTATTCTCAGGCGTCATCATCTCTTGGCGTCGTTGGCGGCGGCGTGCGCACTTTTGTACCTTTATTTTCCGCTTTTCCGCAATCTGCACGCGCGCGTGCACGAAAGTCGCCACAGCGGCAGGAAGAGCGCGCGACGTTAAGTTCAATCAAAGTGGGATTCGAACGTTCAACACCAATATGCGATTCATTCATATATTCTTCATTCTTATAATACCCGTTTGGCAGCCCGTGGGGCTTTTCACACGCGCGCGCTTGCTTTTTTCCCTGATTTTGTGCGCTTTTCTTCGCCCCCATTCTTAGGTGCTTATTGTGTCTTGATCAAGATATAGACGCACGGATTGAATGGGGCGAAAATTATGAGTAGGTACATAATGTAATTTCTGAATGAATTGCCTAATTTGTACAAATAAAATCCACATTGCACAAATTTACAAATTTCCCCCGAGCGCACGCTTCCGTAGTTATAAATTACCGCCGCCCAAATTGGTAGCGTAGCATTTTCCGGCACGAAATATGTCCACCCCTCGTTTGCATCCCGTTTTAACACAAATTAAGCCACTGTTTATCAAATGTAGCCGCGCCATATTGATTTTTTTAATTCGCATCATTCACCGGCCGCCATAACCCCCACCACCACCACCCCGCCAACCCTTCATTCATTCACCCTTCTGCACGCTTCTTCCTAAAACGGGATTCTTTTCATGTGAAATATTTTCCACTTTGCTGCATATATTGACTTTTCCGAGGGTTATAACCACGTACGACATCCCCACCCGTTTGACCGTTTTCATTATACACACTACATGCATAAATGAACTTTAATCCTCGCTTCGAGCACAACACACACACCCACGCGCATACAAATATAGTACCATTAGGTATTAAGAAACGAACGAACAACCTGTTTGCCAACCGCACAACAAGTTTGTTAACCTCTCCAGCGCCTTTGTTGCACCTTCTCCGGGAGTTCTTGTAAAGTCAGCCAATCGAGACGCGGCTTTTGCTATGGCCCGGTGCTCTGTTGTAATTACACGTTGGTGTGCGTGATATTTAAATAAATTAAACACACCGGCGCACGGAGGAGGCGGTTCATTACAATAAAACAGCACGAACGCCCGCGCGCGCGAGCGAAACGTGGTCAATTGCAGTCAGAAGCAACAGTTTTGTGGTCTCGTGCTGTTGTTCAAACGTAATGAACCCTCTCGACGCGAAAAAGCCGAATTAGCAGGGTATATTTTGTCTAATAGCGCAGCGCATTGTGTATAATGTAATTTACGCCTTTTAATTTTCCGACAATTTAGTGCAATTATCTTGTTATTTAACTGCAACCAACTATACATACAACTACACCTAATACATGTAGTGGTAATGTTGAGTTGGTTGCATAACAATGTGAGTAGATTATATTGGCTTACGGAATAATCGGTGGATACTTCGTAATCTTCAATTTCCATTTCGATGAGTCGCTGGTTTTATTTTTTTTTCGGTGCGGCGTGTATGTGTGTATCACGCTAATCCATGGCACGCAGGGAAGCCTGCAATCAAAGAAAACGCATGAACAACAAACAAGCGAAAACAAACAAACGTGTACTCATATTGATCACATATTAATTACAACAAACCGTTGAATACAAAATAAAATAAAATGAGTGTGCTTGATTTTGTTTTACGTCGATGTGCACGTTTTGTGGGCAATATATTCATGTGGAGGTAAAATCAACATTATTATAGGCAACCAATGTTACACAACTATTTTGTATTCATAGTTGCATAATGTTTCGTTTTTATTTGACCTACTTTTAAAATTTAAGAAAAATTGTGGCGGCGCATCATCAATAAATGTCGTCTAAAATTAATTATTATTTGAATTTAATTCCGTTTTGCTATTAAGATAAAATGAATACTCGAAATTTTACTTGGTTTTGAAGTCAGTGATAAAACGTGTCAATTCCAAAATAAAAAAAAAATGAATTCATTATAGTCCCATTATTGGATTAAGCTTAAGATTTGTGGATAAATGACAGGTTTTTAGATAAAAATTGACACCAATCAAAATGTTTTTCTGGACTTAAAATTCAATTTCATCAATTTGAATATTTTATGAAAATAAAATTTAGATTTTAATTTTTTTTGGTTTTAATAAGTTTTATTAGAAAGTACGTTTTAAAAGGGAAATACACGTGAAAGAAATATTCAAATCGACTCATTTTTTGCAAAGTCAAAGTGATTTTAAAATTGAAACACATTAAAAACTTTAATTGTTAAAAAGTACAATAAAGATTTTATTGTTTTTTCTATTTTTAGATACAAAACAAAATATTTTCATACATAAAAATTAATTTATTTCGAGGCTTCAAAACATGTTCGATTTAACCGTGGAATAGAAATAATTAATTGTTCAATTAAATTAATTAATACCTACGTGGTTTTGTATTAATGCTTTCACTGCTTTTTCATGTTCCAGCAGCAAACGTGTACAGATTATTGGAATCTAATGATATATAATTAATTAATTACAGTAGGTAATTGAAACATTGAAACCACGAAACTCCTTTCAGCAATAATTAATTTGTTTTCGTGCTGGTTTTTCTGGCTCATTTTTTCCGCCGGCACCTACAGCTTGTGCTGTAATCAATTTATACGTGCACTGGAAATGACTTTCTTCTTTTAAAGAGCTTAGGCTATAGCTATATATACATTTTGCTAACAAGAAAATGCAGCCTAAAGGAGGAAATTTCATTTTCTTCCCGCTTGCAGCTGTTTTTTGTTGTTGTTTTTGCGGTTGTTTTACCTACTTGGTATCGTAAGCCAGCGTTTCTGACGTTTAATGCTAAGAAGCGAATTTATCCGTCATAATGTTTACGGTCGTAGACAAATAACGCGACGCGAATAAACTCCGCATTTGCATATTACCGCACAGCGAAACAAAACAACGCAAAACAAAGCACGGAAAGTTCTGGTGCGATTATTCTCCCACTTGAAATTGACTTACTTACCTCTTTTTAGTGTAGTTTGGTGTAGAACCAATTGACAACCGAATGCAACACTAACATTTTCACACACACTTTACATCAAACACTCTAGAGTAATATTAATATTAATAAATACTAGATATTACACACTAATTATTTTTAAATTTAATTTTTATTAAAATCATTGTTCACACTTTTTTTCTCTAAGGATAAAATTGAAGTTTAATTTTAATTGTGAATTGTTTATGCTTCAAAGTGTTTTCTTCATATTAGGCAATCACTGTTTGAATGAATGTTTGAAGATGCGCGACGAAGCGCGAATTTACGCGGAGGCGGCAAAGTGGCGGCGATGGCCTGTGCTCGGCTCGAAGGTGATGCGAACACTGGCGCGGCCGCAACACAACTACCATCCGCCGTCGCCGCCGCCGATGCCGCCACTGGGGGTGAAGCGACGAAACGGCGAAACCGCGTTCGGCGTGTTAATTAAACAAAATTCACACACTTTATATGCAAAATTATATTGCTAGTAAACGGATAGATGGAATTATATGCGGAGCGAGGGCGTAGAGTGTTAACGGAAGTAAACACAATGAAATATAGACATGCTTTGTTTTTGTTTTGAGTTGAGCAGCTATTTAGTTGTGTGGAGGCGCCGGGCAGCATGTATTATAAAGGGCAAGAGTAACTCATATCGCATATCTCATATATATAAATAGCATATATACCTACATTAAATAAGGTAATAAGGTATGTAATAGAAAATATTTTGTTGCATTTTTACGGGTCAGAAAAAAATGTGTTGGGAATTTTTGTAATTAAGTGCAAAATGCAAGAGGGAAAAGTGTTTAATTGAGATTTGTTAAAATATTACTACAGCTTTATTTCTGACGTTAATAATTAAAATTTAGTGCTGCATTTGTAAATGTGTTTTTGTCTTCGTTATTTATTGCTTTGATATTACATAAATATCATATTCAAGTTATAATTTGTCTTAATTTTACATAAAATAACTTTACTAATTGCAAACATTTCACTAACGTAATATAATTGTTTCTAAAAATAAATTAATTATTTTATTGTTTGTTTTACATTAAAATAAACGACAAAAACAACTAAAATAATTTATTTCGTTGTTTGTACATTATAAATCATATTTTTGTAATACAAACAAAAGTAAATTAGATAGTTGAGCTTGAAATAATGCAATCAACAGCAAATGGAATTCACTTAACTGTATGTAAGCCGCACCTAAACGATAACAATTGTGAAGTTAGACCGCATTGTGTTTTGGTCCGTATTTTGGTAACTAAATTTATTCAATTGGGCGCTGTAAAAAGTCGTCTGGCTGGTCGGAATAATGGGATTAGTACCTACGTATGAAATAAGCATCCTTTCAGCATACCGGGGGAACATTTGTTGATGTTATGATTTACTACTCTCTCAATTCTTTGTAATATTTTTTCATATTATAAGAATATCTGAGGAAAGTATGTGGATGATTTTATTTGCACAGTATGAAAGCTTCCAAGAAATACTTAGAGGTAATTTGCAATTTTTTCAATTTTTATTCTTTTTAGGTGCCACTAAAATTTAAAGTTTTTTAAATTTTATTTAAATAGAAATTCAGTAATTAGTATTTTACAAAAAAATATATTTAAAGATAAACTATTGTAGTATAAAAGTTTTTTTTTTTTTTGTTCGAAAAGTTTTCTACTTACTATAAAAATGAAAAAAAAAGCATTTTGCTCCGCTTTTAAGATATTTCCGAGAATTTTAAGGCACTTCATTAATACTAATATCAGCTTTGGAAATTACCTACACAAAATCAAAAAATTCTAACCAAAAATGTCCTTTGAATTGTAATGCATTTGAAGCATTTCTCCACGTTTTCTCAACCCGTCCTCATCGAACTTTGCCCATCGATTGCTGACTTGCCGGAAGAGTAGTTCATTTTAAAAGCACGCACGCACGCCCCCGGAACGCACCGGCATCGGCATCCTTTGGAACACTACCGTACCACCATTGCCTTCACCGCCGTTGCCGCCGTCGAACAGAACCCGTAATAATGCGCGCGCCAATATCCCGAAGCTCTCTAATGGATTACCGCTCGAGTATTAAGCCATATTAAAAATACCTAAAATCATGAGTTGCAGTTAAATGATTAATGAAATTCTCGCGCGTCGCCGAACTTCGTCACATTATTAAAGCGCATTAACGCCTTACCGCATAATGTCATCATTCTTTTTTTTTTTTAATCTGGTTGCGGCTGATGTTCCGTGTCGTTAATTACGATTACGAACAGGTGAGAGAATTAAGTGACAAAGAATTGGCACAATTTGTTTTAAACGGTGGGAAAATATGCGTCACAATTTTATCGTTTGATAAATTATGATTTATTTATTTTTATATAAAGTTTTTCTGCTTTAAATATATTATTAAAAGTAATTTAATGAAATAAAAACTGGCAAAATTTAATTTCACTCCGCAAACATGCAAAAAACAAGTCATAAATTTCTAATTTGATTAAAAAGAAGAAGTAACGTCTTCGTTTACGACTTACCTTTTTTATATAGCAATCGTCTGAGATGCTGTGGGTGTCGAGAGAGTGTTGAGATGCAAACGCACGCCCTTAAAACTTGCGAAGAGATTACGCACCTGTTTTTACGCCTAGCACACGGCGTAAATTATTACTCGGCGTCTATTTTTAGGCGTTTGCTTAATAACGGTAAGTAAGTAAGATAAATGCCAAAACGTACATGTTGCTAGTGATGGTAATAAGTCACTTTCAGCGGTAGTACCAGTAAGAAAACGAACAAAAAACCAAAATCAAAAAGTTAATTTGATATCTTTTATGAAATAATATTTAAACTGAATTAACTGAAGAAATTGACTTCAAAATTTGTTTTTAATTTTGTTATTCAACACTAAACTTGCCATTTTCCACATTTACTATAAAATATACTAAATAATAAACATTGTAGACATTATATTGCGCGATAATACAAAAAAGTACCCACTGCGTCGTAAAACCGCATAGAAAAAATGAAAATTTATGAACTCGGTGAAAACGGGGCCAGTTGATTTTTCATGATGTCATGTTTTCTTATTGTATTCCCCGGCGTGTTTCATCTGGCGAGATGGCGCAATAAATCAAATGACCAAAGAGGAAAAAAAGCGACGCGCTTCAGGGAAAAGGAAAACTTTATTCAGCGTGTAAATGCGGTAAATGCTTACGGGCGGGTAGGCTCAGGTGTGCGCGTACATATTGTCAATGAAAGCGTACGTCGACCGTACGAAACCGACCGGTACACATTGTGCGCGCGTATTTTGGTGTGTACACAGCATTTTGTTGGATTTTATTTCACGAACTCCTTATTGTGGATCGCTTTGAGTGAATTGCGACGAACAAGTCACTTGACATACGGACGAGTATGTTTTGTGTGCGTAGCTATATTATTAACAAAAAATAAAGGCTTAATTTGCTAAGTGCTATGGCGGCTTTGGCAATATGCCGGGTGGCACCCCAGGTGGTTTTATGGGGTTATATGTTTATATATCTTGCGGAGAATTTAATTTCGTCAGCGTTTTCAAGATGAATCTCATGGGAATAGGTAAAATATTCATTTTTTGTTGGTTTTCCATCTTTAATAAGATAATTCTTATCAAATAACTTAATAGGGCTTAAATAATATAAGTAAAATGATTAACCACAAGTGTTTAATTGGGTTATTTGTTGTTTCAGGAGAAAAGCTGATCAAAAATATAAATAAATTTGCGGTGGTGAAAAAGGTAAGTGTTTAAATAAATGTATTTATTTAGTTGACTAAGATGTTATTTTCTGAAAAAATTATATTGGTAGGCAACCCAATATACAATAGTGCAGCTATTGTAGTAACAAAGTATACTTTGTCCCGGTTATTTTGTTACTGTCAATAGCAAACTTCCGATTTCTTTATATATATAATGTTCTTGGCTCCTATGTGGAGCATAGAGCCTCACTAAGCGCCCTCCAACGATTTCTTTAGGTGATGGTAAACATCAGGTATATTGCATCCGTTTGTGCAATCACTACAGTAGATTGAGTTCTGCAATAGATCAAAGGGTCACTCAAACAGTAAGAAACATAGAAACGAGTTGAAAAGCCAGAAATTTTACATTTGTAAATGAAAAACAGTGAAATCAAATGTTTGACATTGAATTTAATTTAAATTAATTTTTATTTATTTATCGATATTTTTTATTCCAAATATTCTCTTTTTAATTACATAGCAAAAGCTTTAATCTGAAATCTATTGTATGCAAAATGCAATTTGCAAATCTGCTGACTAAGAAAATCAGCCAATGTAGATTATGCGCTACACTTTGCTCTAATCGCTTTTGGATGAGACGGCTGAAAAAAAAAACCCTCTGCAAAGCGTTTAAACCCAAAATCACTTACATAACGTTTTCAACGTCATTTGCAAGATCACAATAAAACGATTCGCACGCTTTGAATCTTCAAGATGCGCGCATGGAGTGCAAATATTTAATAAACAACTTCCGTAAAAACGTGGAACTTGCGGTGCTGAGCGACACCGCATGCTATATACAATAGGAGTTTTCATATCGCCGGAGGGTGAAAGCACAAAAACAACCCTAGCATTATTTTATTATTTCACGTATATTTATATATCCTACATTTATTTCTTACATATGAATTTGTTTTAGTTTTATTTTACACTAGCTTTTGCCCGCGACTTCGTCTCGGTAGTGTTTAATAAAAATGTAATTCGTTTTATACTCTCTTGTTCTAGACATAGTATGTGTCAATTCTATCAATAAGATTGGCAATTTTATTTTAAAGTAATTAATTATATAATGAATTGGTATAATTATATTGGATCCTATAGAAAAGGGCTATCTTTAAGGTTTTCTCGGCAAATATTCGAATTATTCTCGCCGTAAAAATCATCCTTGGGCATTAACGAACATTTAAAAAAAGTATTAGCCAAATTAGTCTTGACATAGTTGAGTTATGCGCTTACCAACAGATTTTGCGATTTATTTTTTTTTTCATTTTGTATGCATATTATTTTAAAACCACCAAATAGTAGTTTTTTTCCTTTCTGTTTTGTTTTATCGCAATCGTGGTGGCAGCGCCGGGTTCATGACTCGACGTCGCGAAAATAATCACGCAAGCTCGCAGAGTCGACACGCCGACACACCGACATACTGACTCCGAGCAATAAATAGAAACAAATAAAGCGGCGCCGCGCCCGCCATCGCAGTCGCAGGCAGATAAATGGAGCCTTGAATTGAAATAACTGATAGGTAGGTGAGCGCTGTATTTCGCTTTCCGCATCGAATCCGTATTGTTTGCGCGCACGAAC